GATTTGCTACTAAACAAACACATCGGTTTATTTTCTCAACAGTGTGACCCGAAGTGACCGCGGATTTATTGACCTTGTATGAACTTATCCATAGCTATATCCTTACACCGAGAGAAATTATCTAGTCTCTGTGAAAAGAACCATGGTCATATGGTAGAAAATTACTTTTGTATTTTTTGGAACGGAAAACAGTGTTTTTAGAAGCAAACTAACCTGCCGCACATGAGGAAGTCATTATACTAATAATAAAAGGCGAGACCTCTTTTTGCGGCGCAGGCTTATCATTGAGTAGTAAACCGTCCACAAACAATAATATAGGAAGCCTAGTGACGAGTGTAGGCTATAGACTATAGGCTTGAGTCGAGATTACTCGCTTTCAGGTTACTCTGTTTTTGCGATAACCAATTATGTGAGAAATACCATACTGACATTCGGTTTTTAAAAGTTGTACGCCAACTAAATGTGTTTGTTAGATACTGACAGAGCAGCCCCGAGTCAAACAATCGCCGCCCGAGCTGTCTTCGTCAGCTAGTTTCACAATATCGTGCAATAGGTGTATTAATGTGATTTTTAGGTTTAACCCCGCAAACAATGCCAAAATAGTGTTTTCACTGCTTACAGAAAACTGAAATTTAAAAAAAAAAAATTTTATGAGGGTGACCCTCCCACACACTCCCTATCGAGCTGCCTGGCACATACTGTCAACATTGTATATTTTTCCGTTTCCGCCCTTCCCCCCCACAATATATATTTCACGGCTACGTTGCGACGATACCAGCATACCCAGTTGTTGACACCCATTACATCACTCCTATCTAACAAATCATAAAGCTGTGGTGTTACGGTGGCGGCATAGTATTTCACCGCAACACCACAGCCACTCTAACCATTCATAATACATCTAACTATCCCTTTACAGCACTTCACTCCCTACACATTTCCCCTCGTCCTACTTTCCCAAACGTCAACAACACATCTCATACATCCAGTTCGCTGATTAACCCTTGTACCACGTCTACTGGATACCTGAGTCTACAGTAAGTATCTGGTAAATAACCAACATTCCATAGCCATGATGATGGTGATGTTTTGGAGTATTGATGAAGGGTAAAAATAGAGTAACAGGTTTGTAAAATAAACATTTATTTATCAAAATACTTGCAATTTGTTGTGGGGCAATCATTCGTCATCCCTAATATTTCCTTACAATTTAAATCTTTAAGAATAAGCCGAGTGAAATATGTCTATGCCCTATTTTGTTTTTTGTGTGTATGATCTATGATGACTGTTCTCGTAATTTTGACATGCAGTCTGACACAGAACCTTGCTACTACAGACCCTAATTTGTTCTTAAATTGAACTGAATTTTTTATTTTTATCAATAGCATCACCAAAGTTCGAATAACAAGGCCTGTGACTATCATTATGCATGAAAAACATCGAAAAATGTCAAATAGAAATTTGAGAAATGACCTAATCGTGTAACTGAAATGACCCAACCCATATACCTTTTTTATGTTGTATATTCGAGTTAGCATCCCCAGGCCTCGATCATTTAGAATAGTCAGCTTCTCTGCCAACTTTTGCTGGCTTGGTATCATTGCACGAGACATCTTGGGAGGAATATGTAGTTATTTTAAGAAAATAAACAACAAAGCGATCTCTTCCTACTTAAAAGTCGCCATCTTGCTTCCTGTTCAGCCCAAATTATCTCAAGGGAGACAACTCTGTTAATGGACACTAATTAAAGAGATATTTTGCCAAAAAGAATACAATAAAGAGCACTAACGAAAAATAGAATTCCAGAAAAGTTGTTGGTCCATACTGTTCCGTGATGCAATGTAACTTATGCTAAAGTTTTAAAATAAGTTTTGACGAATTCAAAATTGTGTTTCCAAAATTATACTCTCGGAAATAAAACAAATTACTATTCAGATCGATCTGGTTCCAAGGCCATTTGAAGTTTACATTCGTTTATTTTGATTTTATGTATAAATTTTCGTTCATTCATTAATCATTCATAATTATTTTCCATTTTCTTTTTTGCTTTGATAGTAATTGGTAAAATAGTTTTTAGAGAAGGTCTACATTTGCGACTTTAAGTGAAGATGTCTCATCAATTAATTATGCATGGATTTGAAATACATGTTATTTTTTATGATTTAAGAAAAATAGTATATATATTTTCATTCTTAAAATATTTACCGTATGGATTAGTCTGTTGTCTAATTTATAGCCAGTGTAATAGGTGTGTGTAGATAAAAGTCCGAGAATAAAAAAAATATTTATAATTAATTAAAGAAGCTTAACCTTTTTTTTTCTTTTTTTTCTTTTTTTTTTAGTTAAACATTTAAATTGTTAATCGGAATTTTATTTTGATAAGTTACTAGCCGAACTCTATGAGACTAAATCTTTGTTCGAGAGATTGAGCGGGGATCGGCTGGTTTACTCATAATATCAAATCATATGTCTTGGATACTCATATAATATCAAATCTAACAGACTTATACGACTTGAGAATTTTTTTCTGCAATATTATATAGTAAATTGTAATACATTTGTGCATGTGATGTCACATTCAAAACAAAAAAGAGAGGTGGAGGGTGCGACCAATTATCCTGAACACACCGAGTAGAATTTATTGTTTATTGTATTGTGTTTAGCACTATTCTAACAAATTGATGTCCCGTCGTATTTCAATATATACGGGCATAAATGCTGGTTTACCCTGTACAAATTATGAGATCGTTAGTCAGACTGTAAAATCATAACAGTCATACAGGTGATTACAGGTATTGATTATTCTAAATCTATATATAATCCCTTTAACAGGTGCGCGCTGTAATTAAACATTGGTATGAATTATAATGAATATATTTAACATTAGTAGAATAAATCTTTCTATAGAAATGATATTGATCAACAAGACTTATTTGTAAAGAAAACGGCGAGTTACTAAGTTCGGCAATTCAAATTATATGAATACCGGTATGTCGGGTTTTCATATATTACACACGCCTTTTGTTATGAATAAAGTTTAAAGTTAGCGTTATACATAGCGGCTTAGTCAAGGTTGTACTAGCATATATGTATATATTGTGAACCGGAGTCAGGACGTACCGGTTACAAGCGACACTAAGACCAAACTAAAGTATACGTTGTGTTTTCAGACAAAGTCAGCAGCTGTAAAATCGGATAATTATAAATCGTAAAATCTATGCAGTAAGTAATTCAAAACAGATTTGTATTGCAGGGTAGTATGCTTATAATTTATCATGCTGTATTGACAAAGGTAATTTTAGTATAGATATCATAACTATACGAAACGACAAGACTTATAGGTATTCGATGTATATTTGGATAATATCTATGAAGTAAGTAATTAAACAAAGCATTGCTGGGTAGTATTATTATAACTTATCATATCGTAGTGACGAAATCATTTAAAATGAGGTGGGGAAGGGGGTGGGGTAGGTTGGTGGATTGGTGACCGAATGGTTAAACGCTCGCGCGTTAAATCAGCAGGTTTGGCATTGAGTCAATCGGCGTGTTTTCGATTCCCCACTTGTACGTTACAGGGAATGGGTGGGTGGGTGGGAGGTGGGAGGGCAGACGCTGGCTCGCTAGCATGGGGGTCGGGTTTTCGATCCCTGCATTGGCCGAGAAAGTTCATCCAGATTTTAAGGTGTGGATCCCCTTTGTCAGTGATGCAGGACGGGGGGCATGACAAGGACAGCTGTCTAGTCTTTTGTATGGGATGAAAACCCCGAGGTCCCGTGTACAAATTGGCGTGCTCGTAAAAGATCCCTTGGCAGTTGGAATTCGATATAAGAGTAGGCCGTAGTGCCGCTGTCCGTGCAAAATTTCCCTCATAGCACACTGTATGGCGTATGCCCAGTTCGGAGCAAAACAGTATAGGGCGTTAAACTCCATTTCATTTCTGTACGTTACGGGGAGTAGTGTCGCTTGTCCAAACCTCGTGGGTTTTCTCCGGGTCCTCCCACAGCTAAGAAATAGAAATGAACCATATGTTAGTCCCGAAATGACATAGTTTGTACCGAGTGGACGTAAGACACCCTCTCTTCTCTTCACTCTGCCTCTAGTCTCCCCCCCCCCCCCGACTGAGAGTTTGACGGATTAATTTTACTCATTTTAATACCCATTTACACTAAATAGGAAATAAATTTTACCTACAAATACTTCAAACATCTTTTATTAATTTTCATAAAACATTAAAAAAAATGTTTTAGAATTTAATTTGTCGGAGTAAAAAAGTTAATATTTTTGGCTCATTAAGTCGCATCGATGTCATCCTTATGAGTGATTGTAGCGGCCTAGCGAATATTCACTAGCTGCTGATCAGTGTGTGATATCGCAGTCAATGGTGTAAGTGGGCGTTAACGGGACAATAACACTCTTGCTGGCTTGAAAGCTCCAGAAAATAAATCTAAGTATTAGATGTTTAAGTGTACTACCTGTTGTGTAAATTATCCATTACATCCTATTTTACTTGTCCAGAGGGTTCGAAATAATTTTTAAATCGAAGTTTCATTTGAAAAGGTATACGTTAGACGTTTCAAACCATTATGTTGAATTTTTCAAAATTTTTAAATAAGGTGTGTTAAGATGAAATTTGTATCATCAATTAATTGGAATATTGTAAAATAGTACAATTGTTGACCAGAATGAAGATTGGGACATATTATTCAGTTACAACAAGAGTGGTATTGAGCCTTTAAACTACACCTTTAGTCTTAGACTGTCTATACTACAATTAATTTAGCGCCACCTCGCTTACATCGCAGGCATTTATCCATATAAATACACATCAAATACCGAAAGTTAATTTTGTGCAAGACCACTTCCTTGTAGAAGTTAAATAAAGTTATTGCACACTCAAACAGACAGCCTATTTATTGAATAGGTGAACAAGGAGAGAAGCGCGTGCTAATTTGTCACATGATCAGATAAAATAACAAGTGAATGAGACAACTCGTGTCAAAGTTCACTTGTCCAATAACGATGAATATAGCAGCTTATATAGCAGATATAACACAGTGAGAAGAAATAATACACGCCTATATATAGAGAGACAGTTATACTGTTTATAGACGACAAACAACTGGGCAACAATACGACATGAATTATAAATTTCGTAGTGAATCTTAGATTTATATCTTCGCTTGTTGTAAAGAACTCAAGGTATGTTACGCTGTTACTACTTAGTATAATGCATTTTATCATCAACTCATTTTTAGTCATATATCGGGTGGCCCAGAGAAAACGAGTAGGCATACCTTATATTAAAGTGGAATATTTCAAAGGCGTATTGTACCTTAAAACACAACCCAATTTCTATGGAAAACAATCACTGGGTTTTACACATAGCACGACGTTTCAACAAGTGTTCTCTTATCATTATCCATCACTCGTTTTGTCTGGGCTACCCGATATAGCTATAGCTAACATGGAGGTAAAGTCTAAAAGTTAAGGCTCACTGCAGATTTCGTCACAGGTCGCGAAATGTAAATAGGGGTAGGGCACGTGATTGTTGACGAGATTGTGGGTTAGTTAGGGTAAGGTTAAGAGCTAGGGTTAGCCCTAGCCCTGTTTATATCTCGTCATCTATGACCAAATTTGCAGTGGGTCTTAACATAATATTGTTTAATGTCGGTAATTGGCAGTTATGAGAGAGAGAGAGAGAGGGGTAGAGGTGGGGTTTAACGTCCACTCGACACAAACTAGGTCATTTCGGGAATAACACATGGTTCAATTTTATTTCACTAATTCGCTTGCGCGTAGGGGTCTTTAGCAGTAGGAGGAAACCGGAGGACCTGGAGGAAACCCACGAGGTTGGAGGTTGACAGTTATAATCTCTTCACTAAAATTTCCTTAATCAAACTTAAATTTTCTTAGCCTCCGTGGGTAACTACATTGCTCTTATCACTACTAGTTTCATCGCCAACCCAAAATTGGCCAGTCAGTTGGCCGAGGAAGTTCATCGGTATTTCCCGGCGTGGTTCCCCTGGTGCCAGACAGATTGCCTAGCAAAGGACAACGCGTAGTCGTTCGGGTGGGACGGAAATGAGAAATGAAATGAAATGGGGTTTAACGTCCTACTGTTCTGCTCCTATACTGGGCTAATGAAGACGGGCATACGCCATACAGTGTGCTATGAGGGAAATTTTCCCGGGCAGCGGCACTATCGCCTACTTTTATATCCAAATTCCAACTGCCAGGGGATCTTTTACCTGCATTCCAATATATACACGGGACCTCGGTTTTTCGTCTCATCCAAATGTCTAGACAGCTGTCCTTGTCAGGCCCTCCGTCCTGCATCACTGGCAAGGGGGGAACCACGCCGGAAAATCTGGATGAACTTTATCGGCCAATGCGGGTGGGACGAAAAAAAACGAGGTCCCGTGTACACATTAGCGTGCACGTATCCGGTGTCACGGTAAATTCCCCCCCCCCCCATAGCACAGCGTATTACTATCCGGTGTCACGGTACAACCCCCCCCCCCCAATAGCACAGCGTATCGCTTTGGTCCGCCTTAATTAGCTCAGTTAGAGCAGAATAGTTGGACGCTAAACCCCATTTCATTTCATCTGACTTTCCCAGACGTTTCCTATCTAACAATTATGTAAAATATACGATAAATTATGTTAATTTTATCAATATCAATATCTGAATTATGCGCGTTTTTTTTTGTTTTTGCTTTAAAAGATTAGGATAACATCATTATCACGGTTTTATCAGTACATGCATGAATACTGAGAGCTACATTTTAACAGATAAACTCAATCAAATAAATTGCTGAATAATGCACAGAGAGAGAGCGAGGTGGGGGAGTGAGAGAGAGATAGATAAATGGCGAGAGAGATACATTTTAACAGATAAACTCAATCAAATAAATTGCTGAATAATGCACAGAGAGAGAGAGATAGAGAGAGAGAGAGGGATGGGGGTGTCATTTCGGGACTAACCAATTGTATATATATTTTTGGCAATATCGATTATTCTTTTGCACGCAATGGCTTTGGGCATTGGGGTAGGGGGGTCTCTGATATACTAAGTACCTCATATCCTTACGTCTGAAAGGAAGGGGGGGGGATCGAACAGAACACCCCCCATTACAGTTTACCAAAGTTTTAAATAGTAGCCGGAATAATACTAGGAAGAGAAGAGGGGAAAAAGTAAGCACAACAGTCACTTAATTACAGGAAAATATGTGTGAATGATGAACAGGAAACCAAGGTTTGTTCGAATACCCCCATTCGACCCCGCACACTACCAGCAAGTTGAAGCACATAGGTTTCACTGGGTTAATGTTTGGATTTTCAATTATATTTCTATAACCCAAACACGTACTTTAACATAATGGATATTTCTGCAAATTCAAGCATCAAGAATATTTCTTATATTTTCACATTTGTTTAGATATTGCGCGCTGAAACATAAGGTCTGGCATTGAGTCATCTGGCGTGGTTTCGATTCCCCGATTGTACGTGACAAGGAGTAGGGTCGCCTGTCCAATCTCGCGGGTTTTCTTCGAGTCCTTCGGTTTCCACACACTGCTAAAGACCCCAACGCACAAGCGAATTATTGAAATAAAATAGAACTATATAAAATAGAACCATATATAAGTAAAAAAAAAAATGACCTAGTGTGTGTGTGTGTGTGTGTCTCTCTCTCTCTCTCTCTCCCTCCCCCCTCTCTCTCTCTCTCTTTCTCTCGTTTAGATATTATCCTATATATTATAATTATTTCCTGTTTTCAAAAAAATAAATTATAAAAATATTTATATTTAAGTATTTATGCACTGTTTTTTTTCCGGTGCGTGCCCAGTTAATCGGATTAAACACGTTCATAAAGCTCGTGATTTGTCACGTTTTGGAAGTTATTATTACTTGTAAGACTGTGGGCGGTATGTTGTTTTTAGATGGGCGGCATTAGTAACAGTTAGTTAGCTCACTATAGGGATTTTACGTTGAATAAGCAAATTGAACATGGTTCAGAATTATAAATAAAAGCTAAAGAAATTAAAGGTAACATGTCCTGTATTTGATGTCAGTCTATCAGCGTATATACAGGTCACAGTTGTTTGAATGCAATTTAGTAATTGAACTGGAATATACAGGTCACAATTTACTGAGTCAGTTTTGGCGTTTTCTTAATCAACTTTTTATGAAATATTCGGTAATTTAGGGGATCACGTGGCTAAGTGGGTAAGAGGCTGGCTCGCTAGCCTGGAGGTCGGGTGTTCGATCCCTGCATTGGCCGAGAAAGTTCATCCAGATTTTCCAGCGTGGTTTCCCACTTGTCAGTAATGCAGGACGGAGGGCCTGACAAGGACAGCTTTCTAGTCGTTCGGATGAGACGACAAACCGAGGTCCCGTGTACATATTGGCGTGCACGTAAAAGATCCCTTGGCAGTTGGAATTCGATACAAGAGTACGCCGTAGCGCCGCTGCCCGGGCAAAATTTCCCTCATAGCACACTGTATGGCGTTTGCCCGTCTTTATTAGCCCAGGTTAGGAGCAGAACAGTAGGACGTTAAATCCCATTTTATTTCATTTCATTTCCTGGAACCTGATTTGCCCATATTTTATTGAGAGTTTTACCACGATGAAATATGAATATCCCGTCTGATTTCTGAACATGTTTCGATCACCGTACAAAATGGCGCGCACTGCCAGAGAGATAACTTATTTACTAGTCCATTTATTAATTATATATATTCCATATATTCCATTAAAAATATAATGATAAACTAGAACGCTGCATTATCCGTAAACAAACTAGACTTTTTGTTTACCAATCATGTTTAGTCCCGGAATGACCTAGTTTGTGTCGAGCGGACATTAAACCCCATTTCTCTCTCTCTCTACCAGTCATGCTAGTTAAATAGCACTGCTATGGCTGGTTAAAAGAGTCTACATATCATTTATATAGCTCGGCACGGCAAACAAAAAATCGAAAGAAATGAATTTCGTGGAAAACATAGACTATACGTTATTTTTAGATGTCATGCATGATACGAGGTCAGTTTGACGCGAGTCAAGATGATTTATTCAGTTTATGATGTTAAAAGGAACAAAGAAAGACACTTTATCTTTATTTACAAGAAAATGGCCGTGGGCGGAAATCTTCTCCAAGATATTTTTGCCAGGCGGAAAGTGCCGTCCGATAACTTTAATAGTAGACACACCCCTGCAGAGTATAGTTTTAAAGAACAGTTTTACGTTGTGTTTGAATATATTGTATGTTTTGGTATTTTGCAGATGGAGACGGTGATCATACCACCCAATGAGAGTAAACCGGATGCTCCACCAGAAGCTCCACCTGATCATATTCTGTTTTCATTGATTTCCACCCTGTTCTTTTTACCTCTTGGCATCGCCGCCATATTAAAAGGCGTTAAGGTACGTTCACCATCCATACTCTTGAAGGTTTACATCAATTGCTCTAATGAAGGTAGGTAGGCCTATGCCTCATACAGTGCGCTATGAGGCTATGAGGAGGGAGGGGGGGGGGGTCCAGGACACAACTGTAAGCGATTCTTTTACGTGATCGCCAACCTGTACGCAGGACATGGATTCTTCGTCAAAATGACAAGAGGGAAAATCACGACCAACATCGGAATAGGACCCAGAACCGCTTGGTTATTGAGCCAGTTGGATTTTAAACCCCATTTCATTTCATTTCATTTCTCATTCGTCAAATGGGGTATAGTAATGTGCCTTGAATGTTCCAGGTGGGCGAAAAAAGAGGTTTTACAGTCCATGAATCCAATTAAAATCCGATTCCAATCTTTAATCTGAATGAAATGAAATGGGGTTTAGCGCTGTGTTGTTCTGCACTATATATAGCTCGCATAACGGATGTATGGTGATCTAGTAGTGTAACGCATGCCCTTTAGATCAGAATTTTTGTCAATGAATCAAGTAGCGTGATTTCGATCCCAGACAAGAAGCATGGTCGCCTGCCCAATCTTGTGCATTTTCTCCGGGTCAGTCGGTTTTCTCACACTGCTAAAGACCCCGACGTGCAAGCGAATTATTGACATATGTTAGTTCCGAAATGGCCTAGTTTGTGTCGAGTGGACGTTAAACCCAATTTCGCCCCTTGCCTTTCACCGACAGGACACTGTACTCTGTACAACCATGTGCTGACATTACTAGTTCAGTTAGTTAATATCCGTTAATTCTACTCTAACCGTGGACCTAGACTGAATAACCTGCTCTAATACGTCAGACTCGCTCCTACGTCACTCCTTTTCTGACTTGCATATTGAAGTCAGAATAGCGCAGTGACGTAGGAACCAGCCTGACGTCATTTAGGGCAGGTTGTCCGGTCTAACCGTGGACGCCCCTACTCCTACTGACGCAAGAACTGACGTAAGAAGTGACGTGCAAGAGAACCCCACCCCAGTCAGTACACAAAGTCAAACTGGAAAAATAAACTGGTAAATTTAACTCTTTTGTTTTATTTTACTTTACTTTCAGGTGAGAAAGGCGATTAAACTAAACGATTTTACTACAGCTGAATACGCCTCGGCGAAAGCTGCAAAATTCGCCATGTCTGGGGTCGCTCTAGGAACACTCATGGGAGCTTTGGTCGCGTGCGTAATAATAGTACAAACCAACCAAAAACCTTAAATACCCTGTTGACGTCACAGTGCCATTGACAACACGATGACAATTACAGATCGGATGTATAGGTGATAAACTTTTATAAAAGTGAATGTACTGCGGTTAGATGTGAAATTTTAAACGGATTTTTAGTGATATACTGTTTTGAAATCCAATATTTTCTTTACCCAGTGACTGAGGTAATAGGTATATGAAGCTGAATACGCGCGATCTTTGTTGATGTTTTTGTGCAATATGTATATAATTTTGAACGGGCCAACAAATGAATTAACGGCCCAATTGGTCAGTTATTGACGCCATTCCTTGTTACTTGGAATACATAATATATAATTTATTATTTAATTTTAAAATAACATCCAGGTAACCAACTGAACTCAAGAAATGTTGACTTACAAATTCTTTAATATTCATTTAATAATGGACATTTCTTCAATTTTATGGATAATACAAGTACATGTACTGAGTTTATTACTATGTGACGTCTTCATTATCCCAGTCGAAACAGAACAGTAGGACGTTAAACCCCATTTCATATCATTTCATTCCTTGATTATGAAGACGAGAGTTTCTTCAAAACGCCGCATGATAATAAACCCAGTCATTGTGTATTCATTAAATTATACTTTGTGTTAAAGAAATGTTCCTTATATCATACATAGGTTGGCAATTGGACAGTTAGTAGTTAGTCTCGTAAGATTGTATTGTTGATTAGTCGAAATGTAAATGAATTGTTAAAGATACATTATGAGAGATTAGATAAAGAGCTGGTAGTTCTCACTATGATAGTTAAAAACTAGATAATGTTAAGGGAATGTGCTGAAGATTTCAGTCAAATTGCTTCACTCTGAACCAAGATATTAGCGATTGATTTTTCGACCTAGACTCGGTCATCATTACTAAAGTCGGTACTATAAAAAAAACATAGCCTCGATTATCCATTTTGATTGATTTAATCATCAATGGGCGTTGAGCAGCAGATTGGATTCAAATCCAATGACAGTCCGACACATAAGATGCTATCGAGGGTTGATTAAGGTCTTTTCATGTTAATAAATGTCTAATTAATAGTTTATATAACATTTCAGGCCTAAAGAAAGACCCGCAATAGGCAGATTTAGCTCTTGCATAATGTTTGTTTAAAATATCGTATTGTTGATAACTCGAAATATGAATATAAATGCAAGCACTATGAATTTAGAAGTGTAAATTAATTATGTTATTTTCAGATATTAAGATGCTTTGTTATTAAAATTTTATAATGGAAATAGGCAATAAATATGTTACATATTATCGTGTTGTTCTCCTAAAATGTTGATGTCAACGAAATATGGATTAATTATGACCCTTGAGTGGTATTTAGCGACCAATAGCAGAATACAACCACAACACAACGTAGCCTATATCGAATGCAATCACTAGTTTGTACACACATAGTACGACATTTCTAAAAATGTTTTCTTGTCGTTTTCAAGAAGAAATTAAATGGGGTTTAACGTCCCAATGTAAAAGTGAGAATCTCCCGTAATAAATATACACAGGAATGATCATTTAAACTGTTTAATACCGGATCACATTAAATAGCATATTAAACAGGCAGAGAGACTGTCCTGGAAACTTACAATCTTGAATAAATGTACTTTCAATTCGATATTTAAAGAAGCTAAATTTACGCAATAAAATATAAAAGAGAATAATTACAAATAATGGATATAATAAGGATTATGCTTATGATACAATTAAAACTATATGTGTCGGCTGTCCACCGTCGGTTACCAAGCATGTAGTCATACAAGATTAATGGCTTCAGGTATAATTGGCATTAAAAAAACCCTAAATGAAATTTAAATAAGTTATTTTAATGCTCAATGTTCTGTTTTAAAAAACAGAACATTGAGCATTAAATGAATGACAAAAGGACGAATAAGTACATGCACGAATTATATCGCCATTACTTTTCTTCACCGATACAGCTAATGGAGGCTGTCTTACCATTCAGTGTACTATGAGGCAAGGGCGGATCCAGAATGGGGTTTGTCTGGTTCCTGTGACAACATATCTTGTCTCCTCCAGGCCTTGAATAGTTTTGAGAAATACGTGATCTCAATCGTCATTTTGGCGTATATCTGGGGTATGCTAAATATGCCTATTGCAGATCTTTCTTTAGGCCTTAAATACAGAAATAGAAATGACGAAAGTTAAAATCTGTAAAATATTAAATATTTAAGCCATAGTTCTAACACCCCCCCCCCCCGGCAAACAAAAACAAAGCCCAGATTTGCTTAGCAGAATCGTATAAAAGAACGTAGATTTGTTAATCTATGGTTGTAATGAATTGTATTTATAATATAGTTCGTTATATAGACGTTGCACGAAGTTTTCTCCCGCAAAAGACAATATTTAAATATCTCTTGGCGCCTTGTCGGATTTGTTTATGCTCACGTAAAATGTGTTTGTGGAAAGTTATTCGAACCAGAAAGCATAAAAAAGGAAAATAACGAAACACAAGGCATAAAAATGAAAAAAAAATCCAAAAGTGGCAAATCGAGTTTTTAAAAACGTGCCGTGCATATAATACAAAACACACGTTCTGTAAATCCTAAATAAACACCAAAATACGAAATTATAAGCATGAAAGGGACCCCCCCCCCCCATGAAATTATACAGTGACAAAAAGCAGAAGGCAAATATATCACAAAAAATATATAACAGAGTATTAATATTTCAAAATGCGGGGGAAAACATAACAAAACAAAAGTCATTGTTTATCAAAATATCACATTAATACACGGAATTAAAATTTCAAAAAAATTAATGTGCTCTGACTCCTTGATACATACAAATAATTATCTCCCGTTAATTGGTTACCCTCGAATGTAGTTCCAGCGCTATTAATAGAAAACCCTCTTTTTCTTTATTTTTCGCGTTTTAAGTTTCACGATTTGACCAATTCTAATGTTTTTTTCACAAAAACGCAATAATTCTCTCGTATTATCTTTCACGGTTGCCAGAAATTTAATTTTTCAAGGCGGAGTATTAACTAAGTTAATTTCCACAGCTAATTGTAGACTACGCGTAGCGATACAAAACTTGAAATGCTACTTTCAGTTTAGTTTTTTCTCTTAAATAACGAACAGAGAAACCATTTGAAAAAAATGAATTCTTCTAAAATTAGCTTTCAGTCAAATAGAGGGCATAAGGTTCATTGAGAATACTTTATAAGCCGACATATATTAAAGGGAAAAAAATATAGAGGCGATAAAAAGTGTTTTATTTTTAACGAGGACTATTAACAGACATAATAGTAAGTGCAGGAGGACCACACTTAAACAAAACAAAAATCTACAAGATAAACCTGTGGACAAGACAGAAAATAGACATTACACCAAATAAATAAATATCAAATCAAGTGAATGGGTCCGGGGGTCAGCCGTATGGCCTTCTATGAATGATTATAATATTGATTAGGCTACACATCTCCTTTTAAAATTTACATAGTCGTACGGATGATACGAAAAATGGAAGTCCTGTGTACACATTTCCGTGCATGTAAAAGATCCTCGGGCATTTGGAATACTTGGAATTGGATATAAGTGTAGCCTGTTGCGCGACTGTACGGGCTAAATTGTTTAGCAAATTGTATGGCGTATGCCCTTCTTCGTAAGCTCAATCTAATCTCAATCGGAGGAGAAGAGAAGGAACTTCATCCCCATTCCATTCTATTAATGACATGAAAAGAACGGGAAACCGTGCGTATGAAAAGTTGGATAAAGGTGGTCGTTTTCAGTCAGGA